TTTGTACTCCATGTTCTACAATTGCATAGAAATCTTCTGTTTGTTAGTTCCCTTACCAAATCTCATAATTGTTCTATAACCTTCTTTCCATCTCATTGTGTCTTTCAGTATTTGAGTATGAGCAAGATGATTGATAGTGGACATGAAGTTGATGGAATTTATCTTCTTGATCAGTCTCCAAGATAGGGTTAATGTGTCAGTTTTGGGGGTGCCTTTCCTGGAGGCATGCCACTAGGTGTATGCCTCCCATGCCTGTTAAAACATTGATCCCAATCATAAGTTGGGAGTTGATGATGGAGATATTCTTCTTGACAAAGGTGTGTATTAAAGACTTGTTGGTCGCCTTCTGTACTTATGTTTGACTAGACTTGATATATCATATGCTGTGAGTGTGGTTAGTCAATATATGAATGAGCTTAGATCTTCTCATATGCAAGCAATGAATAGAATGCTTCCCTATTTAAAGGGGTTTCCAGGAAAAAGGAATATTGTGTTTTAATCATGGGCAACTCAAGGTTGAGACCTACTCTGATGCTGTCTGAGTAGGTTTTATGGATGATAGGTACTCTACTTATTGGTTATTGTACCTTGGTGGGTGGTAATGTTGTATCTTGGAGAAGTAAGAAGCAATCTATGGTGGCCTGATCTAGTGTAGAGGTAGAGTACAAAGTTATGGTTCATGGGGTTTTTGAATTGTTATGGTTGAAGAACTTGTTGACATAAATGGGAGTACAAATTTATTTATCAAAAGAAAATGGGAGTACAAATTGATACTCCAATGATATTATATTGTGACAACCAAGCTGCCATAATATTGATCCAAAAAAAAAAAATCTGCGGTACACATAGCCCACAATCTTGTTTAACATGACCATACAAAACATATAGAGGTTGACAGGCATTTCATTAGAGAAAGAGTTGCCGGTGGAGAGATTTGTTTACCTTTTGTGAGGTCTGAAGATCAATTGGATGATTGTCTCACTAAAGGTGTTCCCAAGACAAAATTGAAAGTTGATCAACATATAATTATATTATATAAAAAACTCTAGCAATTAGAGAGAAAATTTCAAAATTTTCCTGGAACCCTAATTCTGAAATCGCACTAGAGAGAAAAACTGTTTTTTTTCCTTTGAATTGTTTGGGATATTGGACCAAGAAAGATAAAATCTTTTGGATTAAGATTGAGTGTAGTACCTGATTATGATGTCCACAAGTGCAGAAACCGAGGTGGCGTTCACACTCAAGCTTGGATCAACTCGGAAACACTACAATGAGTTGAAGATGGTGCAACTATATCATTGTAGTCTTGGAATTTTTCTCCAGAATTTACAGCAGCAAAGGTCTGATCTTTCTCACATTTTTGGGTGTTAATTTTGACCTAAAACAAATCTGGAAAAGTGCTATCAATGTTGGATAACAGGTCTGGTCAAATGAGGTTCAAAACCCTAGCTAAAAGTTATCACAATGGTGGGATCGATTTCAGCGAGAATGGGAGAACATGCATGGTTCGATCCCTTTTAGTTCCTCTCTATTTATAGACTATGGAGGGCTGCAAGAGCCCTCTCCTTGTCTATCTATAACTCCTAACTTGTTTAGGATTAGATGGGAGAGAGTCTTGCTCTCTTAAACCAAACATTGGATTGGAATCCATCTAACTAGTTAAACTAGTCAAATCCTAGTCTTACTAGACTTATCTAGTAATTAGTTTGACTTGGACTCTCATGTGAGTCTTTTAGTTATCCATTAGTGCTCTAATAATTCTGGAAAATACTTTTCTAATTAGGAGATTACAACTTGTATGGTGTGGAACTGACAACTTAATGGGAGAGCCAACATGTCACATGCTTTATGCAACTAGGCCCATTAAGTGGTAAACATTTAAAATTACTTGGAACCTTACCATCCTAAAGGCTCAAGTCTATTGGTTCAGTCCATTATGTGATAATTAAGTCAATACAACCCAATTAATCACTTTCAATCAATTTCTTTGCTAAAAACACTTGATACCACATTAAGGGAAGGGTTTTTTCCCTCTGTCTTTATGACATGGTGTCCAACTTCCAACACCATTAGATCCTTCATTGAGGATTCTGATAATCCTATTGCCAACAGATTTAGGACATCAAAGGGGAAGTTGTACAAAGTATTCTTTATGTCTTCACATAACAATAGATCTTATCACATTGATCATCAATTGACATACCATCTTTGAATGTCCCAACATACCCAGGTATTTGACCCTGGAAGGATCTCATTGGTTGGCATATCAAAGACAGACAAGTCTAACACTCAATCTGATATTAATATTAAGTCTAGGGATTAATTCAATGTTAGAATGTCCCAACATACCCAGTCATTTCACCTGTTAGAATGTCTAGGAATATTTTGGGTTTGGTCTAATTCAATGTTTCTTGTAAACACTCACCCTCACACCTTAGGTCATAATCCAAGCAATTGAGACTCACTGCTCCACTACCTTGGGTAGTGTGAGAATGACAACCTTGTCAGGAATCAGGATAGACTTCCTCAAGTGTATCCATTGATTGTGATGATTCAACTGCATATTATTGTAATTATGTGGCCTCATACATAATGCTAATGTGAACTAAGGGGATTTAGCAGTACAATCCAATGATACATGAAATATATGTTCTTTTGTTCATAGAAAAAGTATGTATAATACATTAGTTGGAGCTGAGGGCATACACACTGTCTAACAACTCCCACTTGCACTTAGGTCCAATTTGGCATAAGCCCTAGTCCTATATTGTCTATGTGTTTCTCAAACACTTTTTGTTATACAACAAGGGGATGGGAGATGATATGGTGGTGATGACTCCAAGCTCTTGGATAGATTTCTTCATCCAAATAACTTCCTTAGCATTTCCACTTGTAGTAATGTATTCGGTCTTTGTTGTGGAATCCACCGTAGACCCTTGCTTACTATTCTAGCTAACATCTCTTGACCCTAGTAGAAAGATAAATCTAGATGAAGACTTTCTGTCATTTGGGTCTGATTGGAAATCAACATCAATATACCCAACCAATTGTAGTGAACTTTCAAAGATAAGGCAATAATCCTTTGTCCTTCTAAGGTATTTCGATATGTTCTTTATAGCAGTCCAATGCTTGAGATGGGTGCACAATACTTACTGCCTGAGCTATCTCAGGATGGGTGCACAACATGGCATACATGAGGGTCCCCATGGCTAAGGCATAGGGAATGTTTCTCATGTTCTCTATTTCCTCGGGAGTCTTGGGTGACGCACCCTTGTCGTAAAGGTACAAACCTCCTTTTGTATTTTATTTATTTATAATTTTTTAATATTTAATTATAACATCATGGGTTCACTTGTTTGACCCAAATGGTTGAGCTGCTTAACCACCACCTAAAAAACCGGCTTCATTTATGGGTCAGTTTTAAAAATATAGGTTTTAATACTACTAGAATTATATTCATGGATTCAATTAGTGGAATTTAAAAACAACAATACCTTAAATTTGGAATTTAATGAGAGAAAATAGAATGGATTGAAAAGTGGTATTATGCATTTATTAATGGTGTTTATGCATATTTTCAATGCATTTTACCCTTAAATTGGGCTATAAAGCCCAAGAAAACGTGGATGTGCAAAACATATTCAAAAATCCTTTTAAGCTTTCTCTGGCTTGACCAAACTTGCATGAGACTGACATCGGGCCTGGCCCAAGTTGTGCTAGGTTATGCTCGGGTTGGGCCTGGGTTGGTAAACTCAGGCTTGACCTTAGGTTTGGATGGGCCAAAGGCCAAAAGCTAAGTCTTAGGGTTGGGCCTAGGTTGTTCCTCAATCCAACCTAACCTGCCAAGTTGCACCCCTAAAATACCTTCTATGATACCCGGGTACCTGTATAGTGGTGCTGCATTATGCAGAACATTTAAATTTTTAGTCATAAAGTTCATATCTGACATGTAGGGTGGCCATTTCCTTGCTGTATCTGAGTAACATAGGCTACTTTTCTTGGAACACTTCTTTAAAAGAATACCTTCAATTAAATGTGATATTTGTTGAACATTTAAAAGAACTCCTAAATGAAAATCATGACTGTATGATGACTTCGGTATCATCATCATCATCTAAGCCTTGTCCCAACTATATGGGGTTGGCTACATGAGTTCTGTTTCTCCATTCCATTCTGTTGAGTGCAATATCCATTGTTAATTGTGGGCACTTAAATCATTTCTTGTTACTTCCACCCAAGTCCTTTTTGGTCGGGTCCTAGTTCTTCTAGCCCCTTCAACTTGTAACAGATCACTTTTCTGAACAGGTGCTGTAGATGGTTTTCTATGCATGCGACAAGACGTCTCAATCTACTTTTTCTCATTTTATTACCTATTGGAGTTACTCCTAGGTTACTTCATTTTATTACCCATCTAAAGGATTTGCATTTCTGCTACACTCATTTTCTGGACATGCTGTTTCTTTTCTGCCCAACACTCTTCTCCATACAACATAGTTGACATGTCAGTCAGTTTCAGTATCATGGTCTATTTTTGAGAGAACTACAGGTTTCCTACTATAAACCGGTGGCATGCACATCTGAAGGGTTATGTTTTCTTCCATTAAAAGCAATACTGTTGATAACATGTATCATACAGTAATCAGATATAATGACTTCCGATGGAGAATTAAATGAAAGAACAGTACAGGTTTATGAAGGTGTTGAGGACCTTAACTGTTGTTTTTTTGTCTTTCTTTTTCATTGCTACCACAAGAATATGATCTATTTCTCCTTTCTTTTTTTAACTAGCTGCTGGTTACATCACTGGCTCACCATGGCTTTGCATGACTGGGAATTTATTTATCCTTTTTTTCCTGAATGTTAGTTGCTTGCCCCATGCATAAGTGCCAAATATTAACTACTAATTTGGGAAACTTTATCTTCTGTTTCATATGAGAAGTTTCTCTACATCATGGTTCTCTTGCAGTTTACACCCTTCGTTGCATGTGTTTTTATTGCAGTGCTGCTATTATTACAGCATATCTGATGAGAACTGAGCAATTGTCTCAAGAAGGTTCGAACAAATCCATTTTGTTCGTTTTGGAGTATTATGGGCTAGTGGATATTAATTTCTTTTTTGATGACCCATTGGGCAATGGTTATTTGTTTTTGTTAAACCTTCTCCTATTAATGAAAAAAGAATTGGATATTTTGGGCAATTTTATTTTATATTTATTTAATCATGTATCTTTTCCTTTGTCCTTTCCATATATTTCTCCAGATGCAATTGAATCTTTAAAGGAAAGCTGTGAGTTTGTTTGCCCGAATGATGGATTTCTGGAACAGGTGATATGAAGCAGTTCTATGCTTATGATTTATAAGACGGCATGTAAAATGATTTTAGGATTGTATTTTATAATATGCCAAAGTGATTTAAGAATCTTACTTCATAATATGTCAAGGCCATTAATAGAATGCCATATTACTCTCCTTTTCTTAATGCAGTTAAAAATGTTTGAAGACATGGGTTTCAAAGTTGATACTTTGAGCCCCATATACAAGCGTTTTCGCCTGAAAGTTTTGGGTGAGTTTTTTTTTTTTTTTCTTTTACATTTATTTTGATTATGTTTTGAACTTTTGATCTTATCAGCTTTACTGGCTAAGTTGTCCAGATATGGCAAGGACAAATTGTCAGATACAAAATTAACACTAAATGGAAGTATCTGACATGATACAACAACTTTCTATACTTCTCCTGAAATGATTACTGTTTTACACAATAAACATATCCAGATTTTATGTATTATTCGAGTTATATACCTCTTTTTATATAATTGGATCACAGTTATAATGCTGTACTGCTTTTACAATACAGTAACAGACTGACTGGTTGTATGATCAATTATATTATTTTGATTGCTTTGTATGATCAGTCATATTAATCTGGTCGGTTCTGTGGAATGAATTATTTTAGATAATCTTGTAATAGCTGGATGGTTTGGAAGACTGAACTGATAGCCTGATAGACTTACTGTACTGCGAAGTAATGGCCATGCAGCATTATATTTCTAATACTTCAATTATTTTCATGTTTTCCTTCTTATAGAAGGTAAAAGTCTGTATTGAATTAGCTCACAAAAAGAGGGATGTAAAAGGAACACAAGATATGAACAAGCAGCTTGCAGCACCATGCAAAGTTTGGCCAAACAGTAGAAATTTGAAGCCTGGAAAAATAAGCAAAAGAAAGGAAGGGAGCAGAGAGAAAGGGTTCTTGAAGTATAAGACAAGAAGGAAGAAGGGAAAGATATGTGAAAGACAAGGGCAGACAAAAATATTTCTATGGCAGCCCTATTAATTTGTTGCATTTATATTTTATCTAAACATGTACAATGACAAAGATGCCCCTAGTAGGGCGGCTAGTGTTAAAAACAATAAAGAAAGAAGCTAAAAATATAACAGGCCCATATGGGCCAAGGTCCAATAACACTAAACATAGAATAATAAGCTAAAACAACTGTCAACACTCCTCAAGTTGGGAGTATATATTAATCATTCCCAACTTGTTAAGTCATGCTCCAACTTGTTTCTAGCAACCCCCTTGGTGAAAATGTCTACAAGCTGCATCTCAGATGAAATATAGGGCAAACACACTTCTCTAGAGGACACCCTCTCCCCGATTAAGTTCCTGTCAACCTCAGCATGCTTAGTTTGCTCATCTGAACTGGATTGTAAACAATGTTAATGGCAGCTTGATTGTCATAGTAAAACATCAAAGTTGGTGAGGATTCTAGTAGAGGTCAATGATATAGCTGATATTCCAGATAGATTGGATCTGGAATTTGCAGGAGAACTTTATGAGTTGAGAATAATTGTTGAAGGTGCGGATGGATCTTTTTGGAAGAAGGAGAAGGAGAAGCATTTGATGGATGGGAGGATATTCGAAGATGAGGGGATGAAAGGAGGAGCTGGGGTAGAGGGAGATGGGGGGTTGCAGAATAGGGGAGGCGACAAAGAGGGAAGGGGAGTTGAAAGGTCGTATGGAAGAAAGAGGAGATGGTGAGGTGGCAACACCTGTTAGTAGGGGGGTATAGGTGGATAGAGTTTGGTTGAATGGTTCGAGTAAGGAAAGACAGCTGGTGGATAGGGAGGGTGAGTCGAAGGGAGACCAAGAGTCAGGAGATGCAGTGTATAGGAGAGGAAATGGGGAACAAGCGGTAATTGGTAATGTTGCACAAAAGAAAGGGGTGGGGACCACCATTTCAAGATGTTAGCAGTTGACTTCAAAAGAAGGAATAAGGGGAAAAGGTTTAAGGGGGTGAGGGACAACTTGAGGAAAAGATATCCCTTCTTGAAGGAGGGGTTTAACTCTCTAAAGTCTAGCCGAGCAAGTAACAGTGGATCCAAAGCCGAAGAAGAATGGATTTGGGTGGTAACTAAGTACAATAATGGTAGGAAAATCGGCGATCAGGAAGGGAAGAGAAGTTGCCGAACTCTGACACATTGGAGGAAGATGAGGTCTTGGCATCAAAATCAAAGTCGAACTGAAGATTTTATTCATGAGCAGATGACCGGCTGTCTCCTTCTCAGAGAAATCCAGAGGTTGTGGTACATCAGAACAACGACAACAATGTGGAGAAGAGGAGAAGAGTTGATGGGGGAATCTGCTCTAACTGATAATGGCACAACGTTTGAAGAGTTTGGGAATCCTGAAGAGTCAGTTGGTGCGAGTCCTCTGGGTTCCATTGCTAGACCAAATGGTGAGGTAAGGTCGACATCTCTATCTCCTCTTTCCTCTTTGTCTTGTCCTTCTACTCTTTATTCTTCTTTGGTAGTGGGAGATATGGATAGTAAAGGAGATAATGAGGGGAATTGAAAGTGAGGATAACTTGTTTGAAGAGGAAAAGATCAAAGGGGGAACTAACAAGTTTATAATAGGGTGGAAAGAGTTTAGAAGAGGGAGAAAGAGAAGAGTTGAAGCAGGGTGGCCAAGGGTCTGGGGAAAGAGAGAAGAAATCAGAAGGGGCCTTGGGTGGAAACGAACTAAGGGAGTCCAGCACTTAGAGAGGGAGGGTGGATATTGACAAGCTGTTGGAGGTCGGTAAATCACTTGTTTTTTCCTTTTTTTTTCTGAGAGGAGAAGGGGTAGTGAGAAAGGCTATAGAACAATTTAAGAGCAGCAGAAGGGAAGAATACAATAAAAAGTAAGCCAAGAAATGTTCTGAGAAAACATGTCCCAGATGTAGTGTTACTGCAGGAAATGGACTGTGCTGAGGAAGATTTTGGGGATGTCCTGGGATTTCAAATATGGGAAAACTTATTTTGAATTGTATTTGGCAGTTTTTCTCTAATGTCTGTTTGCGGGGGATGCCTTGTCACCTGCTAGACTGTATGTTATTTCCTTTTATTTTAATGAAATTTTATTTTACCATAAAAAAATCCCTAGTTGTCCCAGGAGCGAACAGAGCCAAAGCAACTTAGATACCCCATGGGCCATGGACTTGTATTCTGCTTCTGCACTAGATGTTGCCACTACAGATTGTTTCTTACTCTTCCATAATACTCATGTCATGGTTTAAAATGTCACGAAATTTTGAAATTTTGCCCGGCATATGTCAGTGTCACGACCATTTCAGTAAATATTGCCAATATCGTTAAAAAACAAAAAAAGTATAATATTTCAAAATATTTTTGACCAAATGTCTGCATATATTCGAATTAAAGACAGAACTCATCTCAAATAAAAAGAGAAAAACAGAGAGATTTGGGGGGGGTATAAAGAAGAGAGCTGGAAGGACTACAACTTCAGGCTCGAATAGGCACAAGAGTGGCTTCTCCCCTCCGTTTTGTGTTGAAATACCTTCTTGGAACAAGAAGCAAGGCACTAGACCTCTAAAACTCTGTAGAAATCACTCTCATCTTGATTCAGTTATGCAATACTTTCCCTATTTCCTTCTCACAGTGAATAACCATGAAAAATAAGGGGGAAAAAGAAAAAAATAAATGGGGACTTGAGGACTCGAGGTTGAGGAGGAGAATGTTCATCTTCATCTTCCTCTTCTATTTCGTCTTTTTTGGTTGAAGGGCTTTGTTAATGTCCTGAAATGCTTCCATCACACACTCACACTGCATCTTTGCATTTTGTCTAGAATATTTTAAATTTCAGGCTGAGAGTTCGAATGACCAATGCCTAAATGTTTAAACTTATGTTATTAAAAACTTACTACAGTATGTCTATAGATCATCACAATAGCAAGATTTTAATTGGAATCTTTAAAACATTCCTATAAATATGTAACAGTGCAATAGGGTCTACTGAAACATTATTTTTTGAAGGATCAAACGGAAATTTTATTAAAACTGAAAAAGGAAGCAGTACATCTCAGAAAAATGGTTGTCTAGATGACAAACCAACTACTTAACAAATTACACTGTAAATGACTCAAAATTACAGGGATTCAACTCTAGAGTACTCCAGAAATTCTCTATCAGATCTGACTTGTTCACTTGGTCGAACTATGGAAGACTGAGAACCCAGGCTGCAATCGAATTGCTCACCCCAGCTAACAAGTATTCGAAGTTCCTTGCCTTGTCCTCAAAGATCCTTCTATTTCTCTCTTTCTAGATGAACCAACATATAGCAAAAGGAATACAGCTCCACAAAATTTTGGCTTTCTTGCTTCCTTTGATTTTCGGCCATCTAGAAAACAACTCAGCTGGAACCATAGGGTGAAAGACATTCTCTCCAAACAGAAAGGAGGAAAACCTCCACATGAAGTTTGCCACACTGCAAGAGAAGAATAAATGGATGACTGATTCTTCCTCCTGATTACACATAAAACAGCAATTTACTAGCTGCAAGCCTCTGGATTTCATATGACCATAGGTTAGTGATGTAGGCGCATTTGGCTGGCCTATACAGGACTGATGTGTGTCGACTATAGGGCGCCAGCATAGGCTTGCCATGAGGACGCTCAGGGTTACCCGACGCGGACCAGGTGGACCCAATCGCACGTCGCCGCGTGGCTCTGGCGGAACATTTCGCTAGGCCCTCGTATGGCTCGCATTTGGACCATCCGAGCCTAACTACTCCCTGGCAACTCCGACTATAAATACAAGGCACCTCTCACAAGGTAAGGGATTCGAAGCCTTTGTGATCTTTAGTGCTCTCTTCTCTAAGGACTTAGCACTATCTGAGACCTCGTCTGGACCCCTCGGTTCTGGACTTGCTGCTTATCTTGTACGCATACTAACTTGACCGTCGGAGTCCTCGCCTCGGGTTCTCACCCGAGGCCTCTGACGCCTACTTCCTTACAGAGCCACTATCGAGAGCTCTTCCAAACCCCGCACACGTGCAACTGAACAATTGTATCTCGTCCTTCCTCAGACGCCCTTCTTAGTACCAGCCCACGACCTCTACAATACTCGAAGGAGCAATCTGCCTTGGCCTCCAGCCCTCGGCCTCAACTTATCTCCTCTAGACCCTCAAAGCCTTTGGCCCTCCTTCAAAGCTTGGGAGTGAATTTACTTTGTTGCTCTCGGCTAAACCGAGCATCAACAATTGGTGCCGTCTGTGGGAAACATTAC